CGGCCCAGGGACGCCGAGATGGCGCTCTGGATCAGGTCCAGGAACTGCAAGTCCGCACCGCAGCGTCAATGGCGGTTTTGGAGAACCCGTGCCGGGGCACGTGCTCGATGGCCTTGGAAAACAACACGGCCTCGGGGGACTTGCTGTGCACGATGACATTGGACGCTGGATGAGAAATCGAATGGTACGCACGGGCACACAGGCGGAGCGCTCCTGGCGTGCGGGAAAACATGTTTTCTTATGGGCTTTCGGATGAGTGAAGGGCACACGCTTGTTTGCCGGTCTGTTCTGGGGGTGCCGAGGATGGTGTGTGCACGGTTCGTCTAAAACAGGGCCGATTTCAGGAGGACTCAAATGAAGTAGGGCCGAAGCTGGCGTGATCTGGGCAGGCGGCATTGGCCCCGGCCCGGCATGCAGGCCCCGGCCCGGCCGCGAACAATGGCCAATTTAGTGGTGAAGGTGCGGCGAAAAGAGCATTTCCCGTGGCGGAAGCGGGATTTGGGCGGCCAGGGCCGAGGGAGGAAAGGCTCCGGGGCCCGTGCTTTTTTTTTTTTTGCTTCTCGGTTCCTGGCGCCTTTTTGCACGGCACCGGCGTTTTTGTTTGACGGTCTGCGGCGCCCGCGCGGCCCTAGGCCCACTGCTAATAATTGCACCCATGGGGCCGCGGCCGTGTTTTGCCATCGATGTGCAAAGAATGGAGGGGTGAAGTCGGGAGACAACGCCGGGGGTTTCGACCTTGTTTTTGGGTCCAGGACCCAAATCAGAATCTTTGGCTTTTCGCCCGGTTGGAGCCACGCCGCCTGTAGGGACGTCGCCTTGCATCTTTGGGAGTTGATCTTTGGGAGTTGATCTTTGGGAGTTGATCTTTGGGAGTCCATCTTTGGGGTCCATCTTTTGCAGTCTTTGTCAGTTTTTAGATTGATCCAAAACCAGTGGGCTATGCCCCAGAAGAATGACATCACGAGGCCATGCAAAAGTGCCCAGGGTGTGGTGTATATCTAGCTTGCCCATCTGAATAAAAGACATGAAGATGGGTTTCGAGCACCGCAAAAACCCCGCTCAAGATGGAACCAACTTCACATACTTGCATCGTGCCCGAAATCTTGACAAGCGTGGTGCTGTACTCTGGCATCACAAATATTCACCGTGAACAGAAGCAGATTGCTTGACTAAAAAAAACCGGCTCAACGTGAATTCTGTGGCAGTTCAGCTAATTTGACCGAAGGTGCGGACGATACGTTAAGACTAGCCTCGGTGAACTTGACATGTCTGTGAATGTGCACCCGCAAAACACATTTGTAAGAAGGGGGTTTGTAGCTTACTTGATTCAAGGGCGACGAGGCCAAATTAACAGGAACGCTTTTTGGCGTTTTTTCCCGATTGAGGCTTGCATCCGACTCATAGCCCCAAGTCCAGTGGCAGGCTTGGGTGGTCTCCACAGGAAGCGAGAAACAAAATAGAACACAGCAACACAAAGCTTCAGGATCCGGCCATACGGCTCTTCGACCGGATTTGTTTTCCTGGCCACCCGATCCGGCGCAACACCAGAAACGAAGTATCGATCACTGTACAGTCACGTGACCGTGGTGGGGCATGTACCTCCCCTCAACCAGCGAATGACACCACCACCCTATCTTCATCAGCCAACTATGCTTGTATGTATATTCTTGACCTGCGATCGGCAATTCTGGCTGTACGCAAAGCGGAAGCCAACCCGAACCTGTCTATTGTCACCTTACGTTATGAGTCAAACTAACACTCCAGATCAAACAGTGGGCCGAGAGTCAGGCGGCAAGACACGTTTTGGATGATGAAGACGAGTTCCAACAAGAACCGTTGATCCCGCAAATCGAGGCTAGCATTGATTTTCTGCAGCCTTTCGAGCACGTGCTCGTCGTGCCAAGCACCATGGCCGTGATCATACAGACACTTCCCAAAACCCCCGTGGGAAACATAAGCGTCAGATATCTGCAACTAGATTCCTCGCTGCCAGATGAGGAGTTCGACGACGACGAGCAGCTTTATGCAGCAGCCAATATGGACGTTTCTCGGCGGAAATACCCTGATACGGACATCTCCTTATATGCGGTTTCCGACGCCGGAAACAAGCCAGCTTTGGCAATTTTGGTGCCCCATTTCTCCAATGCCATTACCGAAAAACTAGTCGCCAAGAAAATCGCCGCCTTGGTACCTGATGCCAAGGCGTGGTTTGCATTTGCTCCATGCCAGCTAAACAACGGAGTTTCCATCAGTAAACTTGACACTTTCTCCGGTCTTTTTCCTGGAGTGCCCTTACTCCAGCCACCTCATTTTATCACCGGGATCAGTGCGGCTGTCGTTTCAGCTTTGGCGAACCAAGGCAAGCAGGATAAAGTGAGTGTTCTTGTGTTGAATTCAGAGGGTCACCCGGGGTTCGAAAAGGTGGATGCAGACGCAATCATGGATGCCGCCACAGAAGCATTTGGTGAAACATTGCCACCTGCAAGTTCCGCGGAATTTTTGAAGAAGTTGAGTGGTGTTGTGCGGAAAGTAAACTCAGCCAGCACCTCGGGAATGTATCTCTAGAGCGTCATGGAGATATACACCGACGAGGCCCCAGGCATGTCTTGATAAGTTCCAACAGTTCCACGTGACAGTTCACGAGGACGAGTTTCTCATGGACAAGAAGCAGTTCCAAAGGACTGAGATCGACGACGAAAACGGGACCTGGAAATCACGTGGTACAAGCAAGAAGTTGACGAATTGCACGGGGAACCACACACAGTAGTTGATGACCAACGTTGGGAGATAGAGCTTGCGCAACTTGGCCCGGGCGTCGTCCCACGTGCCGCTTTCCAAGACCATCGTCCCATAGGTGAAAAAGCAGAACAACGACACGGGCAGAAAACAGAACTGGTCCGACAACACCTTCCGGAGGACTTCGATGAACTGTGGCTGTTTGGAGTATATCTGTAGGAACCTGTACCACCAACATTGGACAAATGCCATGCCAAAGCCCCAGCACATGAACCCGGCCAACCGGCTAAACTTGAAATACGAAAGCTCGTAGGTCTGTTCGACATTCTCGTCGCTTAACAGTTCTTGGTACGGCAAACTCGTGTCTGAGCGGATAAGACGGAGAAAGCGATCCAAATTTTCATCGTCGACGTCCGAGTCGTCGCTTTCCATCTCCTCGTGGACACTTCCTGACCCCTGCTGGAAACCGCCTGGGACCCGTGGCTGCAGGCCTAAGGCTACAGGGCTATTGACAGAAACTGCAGCCGGATTCCTGAGATTTTCGGTATCAAAAAGGGAAACAGAAAGTGCCGGGGCTTGCATGGAGAAACTCAAGATGGACTGGGCCATCGTCTCGGAGATGCCGTACAAGACTAGATTGGTCACAATGATCGTCACAAGCGAGTTTTTCATGTACAAGTCTTTGTATTTGGTTGTGAGTTTGACTAGAAATATCCCCAAAACTGCCACAATGCACATATTGAGCACGGGCACATTATGGATGCGGATGGCGTTGATAAGATGCGATAGTTGAGCTTTCCAGGCAAAGCCCCGCTGTCCGTATCCCGGCTCTAGGTCTTCGGGTAATTGCACCATCTATGGGATGAGACGTGTGTATCCTGGGATTCTCGCAGCCTGTTGATTGTTCAGCGTCGATGTATATATGTGCGTTCTTTATGGGGCCGATCAGCTGGCATGCCGTCTACGGTGTCGCGCCACACCAAGCGAATATTGGGGCGCGCGACTCGGAAGCAAAGACCTGGGAATGGCGTCGTGTGCACCGAGAGTTTCCACAATGGAATTTTCCACGATAAAGGTCTTATAATAATGCCTCCCAGACCCGGCAGGGCCGAGGTTCGTAGTCATTATACATGTTTGTTCATCGTAAAAGTGCGTTACGTATGTTCGACGGAGACTTTGCTGGTGATTGTCCATCGCGAGGCTTGGGTATCAACAGCTTCAGGAAACGTTTTTGTCGAGTTGTAAAATACACCAGACTTATTGGCAATGAATGGCCTTGAGAGTGCATTGACTGCAAAGGCTCGGAATTCTCTCATTGACGAGCTCAGGCCATAGTGCCGTGCCTCTAGAATGCAGTGCATGTCTGGCGAATTCACATTGCGAACAATAAGCAGTCGCGTGGTAAAGACTCCCTTGGTATTTCATGACCCAGGCTGTCTCAAAAGATGGATCTCAGCGAAGAAGGATCATCTTACAGGCCTTGGACCAGCATGGCTCCCCACACTTCTGATTCGAGCTGCATGCTGCAGGCTCTCGCCATGGCTCAACACGATGCAACCAGCGAGCTTCTGCCACACTTTTGTATTCAGGAACACGACGTTTTAGTGGCGTGAATGCGGGTCGTGTGGATGGTGGAAGCGCACCCGCTTCGCCTGCAATCTGTCTTCAAATAGCTCGTCGGAATCTTCGCGGGACCGGTGGGAGGACCGGGGAGAGGGTCTTGAGACCTGGATTCTCTGCTCGAGCGGACGGCCGATTCTGTCGGACATTGGCAAAGGCGGCGCCAGCAGCTCGAGGAGAGCCGGTCTGACGGCCGTGTTTGCGGGCGTGAACTGCCGCGTGTGTTCTGGGTAATAGTCTTTGTCTTGGGCCGAGTTGGTGAGCTCGCGGGTTCTTGCCGGGGGCATTTTGCGGTCCGTATTGATGCGTTGGAGGTTGATGTTTTCTGTGCTGAAGCGTTGGGGATTGATGCGTTCGGGGTTGTTATTCTCTGGGTCGAAGCGTTCGGGGTTGTTCTTTTCTGGGTTGAAGCGTTCGGGGTGGTTACTTTCGGGGTTGATGCGTTCGGGGTGGTTACTTTCTGTGGTGGAGCGGTCTGGATTGATCGGCCTCTTGACAGAAGCCGGCACGGGCGCTGGATACGAGGAGCTCCTGCCCAGCTGCTCAGGCTGGGGGGCCTCGCCCAGATGGGCCATGATGTCGATCTGACTGAACACCTCAAGAAGCCCGAAGTACTTGCCCTCGTGGATCCTGGTCTTCAACGCGCCGTCCGCGAGGTTGCGGATAAAGAACTCCTTGATCAACTGCGGGCTCACGGGGTACTTGCAGAGCTCGTTCTCGTCGTGGATGTTCTGGAACGCGAGCTTGTACTGCTCGATGCTGCCACGCTGGTGCGTCTCGAGCAAGTCCATGACCACGTCGCGCTTGGCGTAAGTGAGGTCGAAGAGCCTGGAGAACCAGTGCTTGAACCGCGGGTAGCTCTTGAATGGAGGCTGCAAGTTGGCCGCCTTCTTCGCAAACCCGGTCAAGTTATGGAGACAGAACGACACCTGTTCCTCCTGCGACTTGAAGCCAAGCGTGGCCAACTTGTGCTCGATGCGGTCGAGCCAGTCGTGGGCCGCGTCGCCGAGCAGACCCTTGTCCTTGTAGTTGGTGTCCAACGGGCACTCGGTGTCGCCCAACGTGAGGCGGTACTTCCAGCCGTCTTCCGGCGTTGCGGCCACGTGATTCACCGCCCGCACCACGAGTCTGTTGTCGGGCACCTCCACTGCGGGTTCTTTTGCCGAGTTGTAGAAGTACGGTGTTCTTTCGTCGGGGGCTGGCATGTCGTGGGCCAGCAAGAACTTGGACTCTAGCAGCTGTTTGAGAGAGGGCAGCAGCATAAAGGAGCCCGGCTCGCTGAAAGAACCCGGCTCCTTGAAAGAACCCAGCCCCTTAAGAGAACCCGACTCCCTGAAAGAACCCGGCTCCCTGAAAGAACCCGGCTCCTTGAAAGAATCCAGCTCCTTGAAAGAACCCAGCTCCAGGAAGGCCGCCAGCGTCTCGTTCTCCGTGTTAATGCTTCCCCTGTCCATAGGCGTCGCGTCGGGAAGAGACGCCGGAGGCGGCGGCACAAAGCTGTCTCTTTCTGACTCGATCAGCAAGTTGCCTGCGTGCTCCTCTTGGGCCGACAGCTCGCCGCTTTCAGGAGGGCTGTGCGGGGCGTCCTCGTACACGTGAGAAGGGTCCTGTTCCAGAAAAGGCTCCGTGTTTTCGTCCAGGAGCCCCCTTGAAGGTATGCGTTCCTTCACCACGCCCTCCCGGATCAACTGCTCGCCCAAGCGCACGATGTCCGCGAAGCGCTTGGGCGTGTTGTTCTTGAGCAATTTGCGCAACAGGATATTGCGCAAGTTCATGAGGAAAATGTTGTTCATGGTCGGCTCGTTGAAGTAGGAGTTGAGCAGCTGGTTCTCCATGCGGAGCTTCTTGAACTCGGCGCAATAGTCGCGGAACAACCCGGTCTGCACTGTGGTCTGGCAGCGGTTTTCGAACTGGATCTCGAGAAACTGCTCGTGCACGCTCTGCCGGAACCAGTTCTTGAACTCGTCGAACGAGTTGAACTGGCCGTGCTTGCGCGTCTCGTATTTGGGCGAGAACTTCAAGTTCGCGAGGCAGATGCTGATTTTCGGGAAGTCGTCGTCGTCGTCCACGCGCGGCTCCGCCCTCATCTTGGCCTCCATGGTCTCCAACCAATTCTCGGCCGCAGCATACGGCAGGTCAAAGCGGGGGTCCTCGGGGTCGAAGTTGTACCGGACCATGGCTAGTTTCTTGGTGCGCTCCATGGCAGGCTCACAGGCAGAATACTGGGCGCTGCGAAAATGCCCTCTGGCGGTCTGCGGAAGTTGGGTGCTGTGGCGAAAAATTCGGACAGGTGGACACCGCTGCTGTTCGTGCCGTCTAGTAGTGATGTAGTTTGAGAGGCCCGTGCGCGCGGATGGCCGGGCGACGGTTCCTGTCACGAGGCGTGTAATCACGTGGCATCTCTCACGCGGTCTAGGGCAGGGCTATTGACTAACTGAGAGTGAATACGTGGCATATTGCATTCCGGCTATTTAGGGAGGCAGGATTTCCCTGTTTCCTTTCTCTCGATAAGGGTCAAATAGAAGATAGTAGTAGACTAAAAGATCCTAAGTACTGCACATACTTGAATAGGCATTGAAAGTTCCTGGGCCCACGTGACATGGGGCGATGGACGGCAGGGTGGGTTCATGTATTTTCTGCTTTCAAGTGGTGTTTTTTGCTTTTGTGTGTTTTTTGTGTTTCACTCGGTTGTGAGAAGGGGTGCTGCTGATTTTCCTGCTGGCAATCGTCGTGGCCGGGTTGTTTGTTGGTGTTTGTTGGTATTTGTTGGCAGGTATTCTTTAGGCCGGTGAGCAGGCCTGGTGGAAAAAAGACGCGTGGCTCGCTGCCCTAATATTTCATCAGGCGGCACCAGATTGAACAGTACACTTATTTCTGACAGACTATAAGGCCATGGATTTGTCCTAAAGGTTTCCAGGAAAAGGTTTCTGGGCACGCGTGGCATTGAGAACCTCTGGCTATGACAAGCACAATGGGTGCAAAAAACGACGCCGCATCAGTGCCGTGGCTTCGTCACCCGCAGAACGCGGCTTTTCTTGAGTCTCGTCTAGTGTTTGTTTTGTTTTGTTTTGTCTGTTTGCTTTTTGATTGTGTTTTGCTTTTTCTTTTTGTTCGCTTCGCTGAATCTCTGGCTCCCTACTCGGAACAAAAACTATGATCCAGATCATTGGAGGTCGCGCTGCGTTGGGCCATGAGCATCGAATCGATGATCTGCTCGGCATCTTAGGTGGTGACAGTTGGGAAGCAAATGCATAGAGAAATCTCGCTAGTATTGTTGGGTGTCAATCGAAAGGTGGCTTGATGAATCACGCCATCATTCCCCTCATGTAGCCTGAGTAACGTGCAACTGTTCCTCACCAAGGCATAAACCGGGCTCCTTTAAAAAGATACCCAGTATTGATTTCTGGGATTTGCATTGCCAAAATTTGATGACACTTCCCTATAGAAGCTACAGTGTGAAACAGGCATTGGCGAGTCGCAATATCTTGGAAACAGAGCTACTCGACGCTACTTCAGACTTTTGGTCTTGAATTTCAATCACCGACCAATTATCTATGCCCTAATCTAATTACAATCCAGACTCACGAGACACACCAACAAGTCATAGACAATGATCTTTTGTTTTAGGATCAGTATTATTATACAGCATTGTGAAACTTGGAGCTAACTTGTAAACGGTTGGAACTCAAGGGTGAATGGCAGATCTTACATTTACCTAGACCAGACAATGATGTTTTCCCCACCTGGTGCATTCAAAGCATGCCTGACACAAGCATCAGGAACTCGGTTCCAATCATGAAAATGAAGAGTAATACCCAACCTGATCCAAATGCCTCACTACGGAGATTTTTACAAGGCGACCTCGTGTTTTTTGATTCGTTCCTCGAATACAGGCCCTCAAATTGTACACACCCCAGAGTTCCTGTCTAAGCCCGAATAACAAATAATGGCTGTTTTGGAATAATTGGCTTCTCCAATACGTCTATGACTGCGAATCAACGGCCGATCTCTGAGGGAAACGTCAATTAATACATGGCAGTGCATGCAAACTTCTAGTCTTGGCGATATCTGCACAGAGTTACATGGAATCAGGAATTTAATGAAATTCACGATTTTCCGTCAGGGTCGCTGTAGCTATTTGCTCGGTCATCTCCCTACATGTGTGTTTGGGTCGTGATACTGAATACTCCAAATACGCCAATGTTGGTGTGCACACAAGCACCAATGGGCTTCAATGTAAAAAGATATTTCAGTGTGGCTAGATTCCAAACTTTGCACAATTATTACTTGTTTCGGCTTTAAACCGTTTGTTTCCCAGCTTTTGTCTCCCAAAACCGCCTTCAGACCACCCATACCACGCCGACCGTCTGCAAAGCTCTGGTCACGTGACCACTGGGCTCCGCACGTCGCCCAATCAGAAAAAGACATTTCGTAACAGAGGCCTAGCGCCATACTTCCACGCCAATAAAAAAGCCCACCATGTCTTACAACAAAGCTTACGAGCCCGTGAGAAGTGAACCGGCTTACGGCGACTACGAGCTCATCGATGTGGACCCCCATTTCAACAGAGTGGTGTCCTACTTCAGAGCCTCCGACTTGGGTATCTGGGCAGCCTCGACTGCTGCGTTTCCTCTTTCCATCATCGCTTGGGAAAACTTGGACCCCGTGGCCGGCTCATTCAAAAAACCCATGCCTGTTCCAGGGGTAGCCTTGAGAGCAGCCACGCTTTTGGGTTTTACCGGTGGATTTTTTGCCGCATACATCCGCTCGCTGAAGAGATTCTTGGGGTGGGCTGAAAACGCCCGAGAGGTGACCAAAGACAGGTACGAAATCAAGAAGTTGTTGTCGGAAGAGAAGTTGCCTTACCACCAGAACGAGTCCACGTTGGACGACAGAATGAAGGACATTGCCAACAGAAACTCGCAGTACTCGTTTTCGCTCATGGCCGTTTTGCCATGGTTCAACTTGGCGTACCACCCATACCACGGCACGGATATCCGCAAGTACTACGAGAACAGACCTGGAGAAGAGGACTGGGGGTTCACGTTGAAGCCCTACGAGGAAATCGAGGCCAAGTACGCCAGGGTTATTGAGTAGATTTATAGGTGTATGGACACTACTTTTGCATTATATATACAACGATTCAGAAGCGAGGTGTGTAGGGCCGAAAGGGGTTCAGCGGAGAGGGTGTTTTAAAAAATAATATGGAGCTGTTGTCACGAGCTGGCTGATTGTAGAAATGGGCAAGCGCTGGGTGTCGACTGTGTTTCAGAGAAGTATAAGATAAATGGCACAGTGATTCTGCAAAAACTCGCATGTTTGAAAGCAACGCTGGATTATGTAAATTAAGGCTGATTCTCGGTGACTCAGATGGGTGTCTGCGTTTTCTCCCTGTGATCTTTATCGGGCAGTTTTCATCTGCTATGTTTGATTTGAAGGTTCAAATGTCTTGTCCGTTTTACGAGAAATTGCATATTTAGTTGTACTGGCGTAATGAGAGTGATTGGACTCGAACCATAGTACCTTTTATCTGGTAATACGTATCGGGTAAGATATATCTGGGTACTGCTGTATCTTCGTCGTGGCTCTCACGGTACGCACCATCAAATAGTGGTCATCTACCTTGAAACTGCCGGATATTTTTTCTCTTAGAGAGAGTTTTTGTGGTGCTCATACTTGGTGATTTTGTTTGCTTCTATGTTTTGCCGCTTCCATTTTATTTGGCCATTGTATCACTGGCTTTGACATGAGTACCTGGTCATAGCAGCCCCACGTGGCTCCCCTATCTCGAGTTTTGATAATCAGTTTCATGTTATTTGGCGATTTACAGTTGTGCTACTTATTAAGCTTCAATTGAACTTGGCTCCTGTTGGTAGTCCGTAGCTCACTTGCTAGCCCATATGTGATTGCAAATGGTATTAGCTCCCACATAGCACTCTTTTTCTGAAACCGTTGACATCATGAGATTTTTGTTTTCAATAACTCTGTGGAAGAGAATGTATTTGATTTGGCTTTTTGGTGGCTTTTATCAATTGGCCAAGCTCGTATCCCATCGTCTTTCTTCGCAAGGATGTAGCAGTATGTATCGGTTTCATCAGGCAAGTCATGTGGATCAGCTCCTTGTGTTGATTTTTGCTTGATTCCAATGACTATTTCATGAAGAGTCTATCCTTGGTGAACCGGGCTATTGTCAGATGCTGGAGCTTTGTATCACCTTTAATGGTTGCGCTCATCCAGCTGTTTTCATGGGTGGGACTCTGAAGTATGTCATCTTATATCATGTAGGTTATCTCAGTTCATATAAGCTAATTTTTCAGTCTATTTAGCTCGTAGTAGCACCCGTGGCAGCACTCGCTTTAATGTTCCCGCCAGATACTTTGAATTTGGTTGTATATTTTCTAGAAGTATTGTGTTGGGTCTTTGGTGAATTAGAATGCAAGCTTCTACTTGATTGTTTGGGATATGTAATCCATCTATGTATATGTCTTCCTTTCACGATTATCTTCTGCATTATTGGTGTGGTCAGTAGCTTCATGTATGCTTTTATCTCATCTAATCGGATTTACATATTGACACGGAGTCCAGCCAGGTTCAAGATAAATGAATCATGAGCAAATTCACCCATTCCACAGCTCCCAGGTAGACCTGAACAGATCCAATAAGACAAATACGTTCGGTCAGGGTATATTCAGTGGAAGCACGGTGATGTGGAATTCTACAAGATCATCATTTACCGAAGTAAGTCGAATACCTCCAGATATGAACATAATAGATCTTGCGGGTGTAAATGAGATCTCGTGGTGACATAATCAATGATGCACTCAACTCCAGTTATCAGGATGCTCCACAACTTCAATTTCGATTCTGTCTTGATGTCAGCTCAGTTCAACTTCCTTCACGTGCATATTTATCTCAATTCCAAAGTTGGTTCCAATTCTATCAATTGACTCATATTTAGTCCACTGTCATCAATTCCAAATACATCGAGTCCACTAAGATCAATTCGACTTGGATCGAAAACACAAACATCGATTCAACTAAGATCGATTACACTAGCATCACTTCCACTAACATCGATTCCACTAACATCACGTCCAGCCCTATCAATTCGACTCATATCACTTCCAAGCCCATCAATCCTACTCGTCCATCAAGTCCACTCATATCAATCCCAATAGTACTCAAATCCAATTACATTAATTCTAATCCCATCGATCCCAATCCTACCAAACTCCACGCCCATCAATCCCATTCCCACCATCCCACTAGCATCAATCCCACTCCAATCAATTCAATTCCAATCCTATCACTTCCAATCTTATCACTTCCAATCGATCAAACCCACTCATATTCAAATAAAAAGATTAACTCTGTAGAGTATTTTACTGACAATATAAAGCAAAGAATAGGATAAAAAGAATGGGATAAATATAGACAAGTATTCCGCTCGTATCAACTCTATCAATCTCACCCATATCAATCTCACTCATATCCACCCCCATCGATTCTAATCCTATTCCATTCTCATCACTTTCACTCTCATAACTTTCTGTTCCTACTCACTCCCACTCTCATCCCAGTCATATCGGTTTCAATCCCCTGCCAATCCCATCTCTGCCAGTCTCATCAATTTTAGACCCATCAATTCCACTCATATTCAATAAAACAATAAGCTCTGTAGCTTATTTTACTGATAATATGAAGTTAAGAGCAGGATAAGAAGTACAGGAAACATAGACAAGTACTCCACACCTACCACTCCCACCCATATCAAACCCACTCATAGACACCCCCATCAATTCCAATTCCATCAATTCAATCCCATCAGTTCCAATCCTATCAGTTCCAATCCCATCAATTCCAGTCCCATCACTCCCAATCCCCTCAATTCTAATCCTATCAATTCAATCCCATGTATTCTAATCTTATCAATTCCCATCCCATCAGTTCCAATCCCATCAATTCCAGTCCCATCACTCCCAATCCCCTCAATTCCAATCCCATCAATCCAGAAGGCCTCGCCAAACCTCGCGGCCCCCAGAATTCGCACCCATTCCACCACGGCCCCAGGCCGCGCTCCACCCGGCGCGGCGCGCGCGCCCTATGTACAAACAATCGTCTCCTCCAAACCACCTCTTCTTCCTCCCAGGTCCACAGCATCAGCCCGACCCCCGCGTTTGCGCAGCCACAAACCCCGCCCCGCGCCCCCGCAGACCCCCGTCCGCCCATGAGTGCCGACCAGGACTATTCGCAGTTGCCCGTGGACGAGAAAATCGCACACAGTGTGTGGAAGGTGCGGCTCGACGGCTACAATGCGCTCATTGCCCAGTTCGAGGGCTCGCGCCACGAACACGACCCGTGTTTTGCCGCAGTGGCCACCAAGCCCGACACGCTCACGCGGGCCGTGCAGGACCCCAACGTGGTGGCGCAGGAGCAGGCCTTGCTGCTCGTGTGCAAGTACCTCGAGTACGGGTGCCCCCCGGGCGGCGCCGCCCGGTTGAAGACGGCCGGGCTCGTGCCCGCGTTGTGCGAGAAGGGGCTCGCGTCCAGCCGCGCGGGCACAAAGGCAAAGGCCGCGGACGCGCTCGTGTTGCTCACGGACGCGGCCGGCTCGGCCGACTGGATCGTGGAGCAGATGGCGCCGAGCCTCGAGCACAGGCTCCCCAAACTCGTGGCCGGCTGCGTGCACGCGCTCGCGCGGCTCGTGCACACGTTCGGCTGCGTGGTGGTGCCGCCGCGGCTCCTCCTCGCGGCGTTGCCCCGGCTTTTCGCCCACGCAGACCGCGGCGTGCGCGCGGAGACCACCGCGTTGGGCGTGCAGTTGTACGTGTGGCTCCGCGCCGCGCTCACGCTGCTGTTGTTCCCGGCGTTGAAGCCCGTGCAGCAGCGCGACTTGGCCGCGGAGTTCGCCAAGGTCGAGGACTCCGCGCCCGAGCAGAAGCGGCTCACGCGGGCCCAGCGGGACGAGGCCGCGGCGCGCCAGCAGTCCGCCAGCGCCGCGGATGCGGCGGGCTCCGCGGACGTGGCCATGGCCGACGCGCCCGGCGCGGCCCCGGGCCCGGCCCCCGACCCGTTCGACATGGTGGAGCCCGTGGACGTGTTGTCGCAGATGCCCGCGGACTTGTACGCGCGGGCCGCGGCCGCCAAGTGGAAGGACCGCGTGGAGGCGCTCGAGGAGGCGCAGGCCGTGCTTGCGCGGGCGCCGCGGCTCAGGAACGACGACTACACGGAGCTCGTGCGGCTCTTCGCCAAGGGCTTGCGCGACGCCAACGTCCAGGTCATGGTGCTCGCAGCCAGCGGCACCGCGTCGTTGGCCCGCGGCTTGAAGGCCGCGTTTCTGCGGTACCGCCCGCTCGTGCTTCCGCCGTTGATTGAGCGCACCAGGGAGAAGAAGCCGGCCGCGGCCGACGCGCTTGCCGCGGCCTTGGACGCCGTCTTCGCGGCCTGCTCGCTTCTGGACGTGTTGGACGAGACGCTCGCGGGCATGCAGCACAAGACGCCGCAGGTGAAGATCGCCGCCACGGGCTTCCTCCGCCGGTGCTTGGCCGCCACGCCCGCCGCGCCCTCGGCCGCGCAGATCGACCTGATCATGTCCGTGGGCGTCAAGCTCCTCACGGACTCGCAGGAGCCCGTCCGCCAGGCCGCCACGGAGATGGTCGGCACGCTCATGAAGATCACGGGCGAGCGCGAGCTCCGCGCTTTGCTCGACAAGGTCGACGAGAACAGGCTCGCCAAGGTGCACGCGGTGTTCGAGGCCGCCACCGTGAACGCGAGCGGCGGCGCCCCTCCGAAACCCGCGGGCGCCCCGGCCGCCGCGCCCCTGCCGCGTCTCGCAAGCGCCCCTGTGCTCCGGACGGGCCCGTCCCCTGCGATCCCCTCGAAGCGTCTCGCCACGTCGCCGGCCAAGCGCGCAGACCTGACCACGAAGGCGCCCATGAAGAGCTTCACGGGACGCCTGCTCGCCCCGCCCGCGTCCAGGGGGGCCGCTGGGGCTGCCAAGCCTCCGGCCGAGCAGCCCGTGCCGCCGCACGTTCTCGACGAGATACGCACGCTCAAGGAGGAGAACCGCCGTCTCAAGGAGGAAACCGAGCTGGGCCTGAAGGCGCAGGCCGCGGCCATGGAGGAGTCGCGCCGGGCGAGGCAAGAGAACGCGGCCTTGACTGACAAGATCGATCTGCTCTACCGGGACAACACCAACGGCAATCTCATGGTGAAACAAAAGGACACGCAGATCATGCGCCTCACCAGCGACTTGGAGAACGCAAAGTTGAAGATCAAGAGCCTAGAGCAGGTCATCGAGATGATGAAACTCCAGCATCCCGCGCCGCCGGCACAGCCGTCGCCTTCCTTCCAAACAGACTCCTTCGCGTCTCCGTTCGCATCGCCCGCCGCCAACCCTCTGTCCAGGCATGCGCTGTCTGAGCTCAGCTCGCGTGTCAACAGACTCTCCATCGAAGGCGGGGCGGCATTGAACAATTCACATGAGCAGTCGCCGGCCAGTCTTGCAGACGCGCCCGGCACAGGCCTATTTACGCGGGCCACCAATGTTGACAGCGCCCACCACCCGCCGGGCCCCGAAACCAGAAGCACAGGGGACGGCGAAGAAAACTGGAGAAAGGCCACGGAAGTCACGGCCCAGCTCAAGGCAAGAATCGAGAAGATGAAGCAACGGAACCGCCTTGCCAGCCGATCGTGACGAGCCAAGGAAACGTGCGTACTGCATACCAGCGGCCGGCCCTGGGTGAGCGAAAAAACTCGCGAGGTGAGTAATTCCCGAGGGTCGGGACAGGACAGATCGAATACACCGTCACCGCCAAAATGTCCACCAAGTTGAAAATCCTTGTTCCTGTCAAGAGAGTCATTGATTATGCCATCAAGCCTAGAATCAACAAGGCCGGCACTGGTGTCGAGACGAAAGGCGTCAAGTTCAGCATGAACCCGTTCTGCGATATTGCCTTGGAAGAGTCCTTGAAGATCAGAGAGGCCAACAAGGGGCTTGTTGAGAAGATCCATGCCGTGTCCATCGGCCCCACCAAATCGCAAGACATCTTGAGAACCGCGCTTGCAAAAGGGGCGGACTCGACCACGTTGGTCGATGTGGGAGAGACGGAGGTCGAGCCTTTGACGGTGGCCAAGATGTTGCAGAAAGTCGTTGAGAGGGAGCAGTCGAACTTGGTCATCTTGGGAAAGCAAGCCATCGACGACGACCTGAACCAAACGGGCCAGATCTTGGCGGGCTTGTTGAACTGGCCGCAGGCCACCAACGCATCCAAGGTGGAGATTGATGGCGACAAGATCAGTGTCACCAGGGAGGTCGACGGCGGCTCGGACACATTGCAAGCCAGCTTGCCCATGATCGTCACGGCCGACTTGAGATTGAACGAGCCAAGGTACGCGTCGTTGCCCAACGTCATGAAGGCCAAGAAGAAGCCGTTGGAGAAATTGAAGGCCAGTGACTTGGGCATCGAGATTGTCAACCGGGTGGAGACGCTCAAGGTGGAGGAGCCGCCCACCCGCTCTGCGGGCGTGAAGGTCGAGAGCGTGGACGAGTTGATTGCCAAGTTGAAGGAGGCCAAGGCCATCTAGGAGCCGGGCATTGTACATTTATGGGGGGTGCGCTCCCAGCAACCGCGAGAGGAAAGAGGAAAACGTAAAGAGGAAACCGCAAAGAGGAAAACGTCAAGAGGAAACCGCAAAGAGGAAGGTGTAAAGAGGAAAACGTCAAGAGGAAAACGTAAACATGAAAACGTATACATGAAAGCGTAAACATGAAAGCGTAAACATGAAAACGTAAACATGAAAGCGTAAACATGAAAGCGTAAACATGAAAACGTAAACATGATTAAGAATATACTACAACAGCACCATCAAACCCTTTGCTCGCCACGGGGCCAGCCTGTGTCCGAGGTGTCTGGGGTTGCGGCTCCCCGGCCCATGGGGCCGCGCCAATCGGATTAGGGCCGCGCCCTGCAGAGCCGCTTTAGGGCCGCACCTTCTGTCACGGGCAATGCCTCCCGTCGTCGCCTCTCGCGTGACAGAGAGAAAAAAACTCCTCTCTGCCGGAGGTTCTTTCCTGGTCTCTTTTTCCCCTCAAGGGTTTTTGGAGCATAGTAGTATTCGGATCCTAAGTACTGTGCATACTTGAATTGAGAACTCTGATGTTGAAGCCCTCCAGAGCCGCGCTCTGGGGCCTAACTCTAGGGCCGTACTCTAGGGCCGCGCTCTAGGCCCTAAAACTAGGGGCGCACTTTAGGGCCTAGGGCCCAACTCTAGGGCCGCACTTGAGGGCCTAGGGCCCAACTCTAGGGCCGCGCTTGAGGGCCTAGGGCCCAACTCTAGGGCCGCGCTTCAGGGCCTAGGGCCCAACTCTGGGGCCGCGCTTCAGGGCCCGAACCCAAGCGCCGTTCTCCCCCAATCGCCAGCAGCACATCCGAACCTGCCGCCTTGCCTCCCCGTCTGCTCCACAGCTCTGCGCAGCATGACACTCGAGCTCGCCGCAGCGTTCCTCGACCGCCACTTGGCCACGTGGACCCAGCCGAAACCCCTCGTCGTGGGCATATCCGGGCCGCAGGGCCTGGGCAAGTCGCACCTCGCCGACGGTTTGCTCGCCCACTGCCAGCAACACCACCCCCGGCTCAACTGTGTGGGCGTTCTGATCGACGACTTCTACTTGACGCACGCCCAGCAGGAGCGTGTGTCGGCGTGCGCCCGCAGATCGGGCAATTCCATCTTGGAGGGCCGGGGCCTTCCGGGCACGCACGACCTCCCGTTGGCCACCAGCACCATGGCCGCGTTGGTGGCCGGAGACGTGCCCGTGCGGGTGCCGCGGTACGACAAAGGCGCGTTTGGCGGCGCCGGCGACCGCGTGCCGCAGCTGCAGTGGCATGTGGTGGACCGGCCGGCCGATGTCATCGTGCTCGAGGGCTGGTTCAATGGGTACCGGCGCATGGCGCCGGGCGTGTTTGGCGCGGCGTACCTCGCGTGCGGCCGCAGCGGGGCCGTGCTGCGCAGCGCCATGCACCACCTTGCGGACATCAACGCCCGGCTCGGCGAGTACGAGGAACTATGGGACTTGTTCGACTGTTCCATCGTGCTCTGCACGCAGGACCTCGGCCTCGTGTACCGGTGGCGGCGCCAGCAGGAGGCCGCGTTGGTCGCCCGGACCGGGCGCGGCATGACGGACGGCGCCGTCGACGCCTTTGTCCGCCGGTACATGCCCATGTACGAGTTGTACTACTGGCGCACGTGCGCCGCGGGCCTCCTGCGCCCGGGCACCACCTTGTGTCTCCAGATCGACCTAGCCCGCCGCGTCACGGGCCAGGCGGTGAAGTAGCATGTGTATTTGCGCTTACATACGCTGTCTAGGACGCGGGTCGCGCGGGCGGAGCGGGCGGAGGTCGGGCCGGGCTTTGTTGCTTGCCGTTCGAGGTGCCTTTGGCACCGGCCACACGGCGGGCACCAGGCGGGCATCAGGCGGGCACCAGGCGTGCGGGTGGTGGCGCAAGCTTGTTTTCGCCCGCTCGCTTGGAGTTTCCCACCTGCTTGGTGTAGCCCGCTCGCTTGGTGTTGCCTGGTTGCAAATGCCCTCGGGCCCGACCCCACTTCCAGCCCTCCATCCACGTTCCGGTGTCTCTCGAATAAATCCTCAATCCACGTTCCGATATCTCTCGAATAAATCCTCGATCCACGTTCCGGTATCTCTCGAATAAATCCTCAATCCACGTTCCGGTGT